GATTCATGGTACCTCAGAACCATATTTAGCTTAATTATTAAGAACATGTAACAATATTAAGTTTCATCCTATTTGGTAACTGACATGAAAAACATATCCTTTCARAAAGTATTAAAACATTTCTTTAAAAGTGAATTGCAAAGTGAATTGGTATCCTTTCAGTGATTGATGTCATGAGCTCTGTCCTAGAGGACAGGATGAGGATGACCTAGGACTGAATTTGGCCTTAAGTGAAAATWCAGCCACTTGCGTAAGGGAATACTAACACCTCCAAGGCTGGGCAGCACAGAGAATTACCCAGGGACAGGGAGGCCCAAACTTCTCCATGATGTAATCAATGTCTAAAAAGGACTGGRAGAAGAAGAGAGAGAAAAAGAACATTTCTATCTGAGTAATTCCCCAAGGTGCATCTGAACTCAATGAGCAGATACATGTTTGACGTGTCAGACTGTTCTCTGGAATAAATCCTGCAGATGCAAGATGGCATTAAAGAATAGATTTCTGCCAGGCTGAAATGGAGTAGCTGATGGTYTCCTGGGCTGTAACATGTTGAGCTGTACACTCCACTCATCTGGCAGGCAAGGCTGGAATCTGATATGGCAGTGGTCTATATGGAAGAGAAATTAGCCAGGAACTCTGCACTTGAAACTCACTTATCCAGGAAAACGCCTAACATAGTTAACTAAGATAACCCACTTGCTTCAATCCTGATAATGCCTAGAAAGTYATCAAGAAAATTTTGAACTTTAAGCTTGGAAAGGTTTACACCAACCATTTGTTCGGAAGTTTTGTACTCACTGTCCAAAAGCAAGTTCAGAGATTAATTAGGAAAGCATAATCTTGCTTCACTAATAGCCATAAGAGAACAAAACATAATTTTTATTATGGCATAGTATTACCATCAAGAAATGAGATGAAAAAACTTCATCCACCCCACCATCAAGATCCAATCATAGGATGTTGAGAGGAAATCGTTCAGTAATTTAAGACCAGATGTACTGGGTTCCACTTGGGTTTTTAAGTTTCTGAGTGTTGGCACTGAGTGTGTGCACATGCTGGGCTGCTGCATAACAAATGGTTAACCAGAACAGACTATTTCAGCTGGAAGRAACCTACAGCAACCAYCCAGTCCAACCTCCTGGCCAATTCAGGGCTGGCAAAAGTTAAAGCAKKTTGTTAAGGGYATTGTCCAAATGCCTCTTAAASGCTTGGCAGGCTTGGGCATTGTGGCTGATATTTAATGAATTTAGAAGGTTCATACGATGCRACGGTATTTGCCTATCCATYCATTTCATCAGGCRTTGCCTGGATCACAGTAAAAATATTACTGAACATAAAGTTGCGTGCTTCTTTACATTAAAGTATAGTTCTTTCCACTGGAAGGATTGKTTTTTTCCAATATGATAAAAGAAATATACTCACAAAAGAAACAAACAGCATGGATTAGGAATACACAAAAATTATCTAAACTTGGGTGSGGAAAAAGAAGGACTAGTAAGTTTACTTGCTTTTTACAGTTACTCATTAAAGCACTCAAATATATCTTACACATCATCTGGACATATAGTTTGTCAGCAGAAACTAGAGATTTCTCGATAAGTGCTGCAACACAGATTCAAAAGTACACAAATCCACACCATAGATACTCTGAAAATTCTGCAAAAACTCAGGAAGATGCTAGAATGATAGAATATGAAAAGATGCATACTTCCTTTCAGAGGCCAACTTGAAGTATCCATTCAAATATAACTAAATTTCAGTAACTGTTACCTTTCTAGGACTAAACAGCGTATCAATTATTTTTCACAATAGCCAAGCTTTAAYTACTTGAAGCAAAAATTTTCTACTCCAGCCCAACAGTTTGTTTGTTTTTATATCCTGCTTATAGACCAGACACTTGTCAACCTCTCAGATCTCTAGAGAGTTGCGGTTTAAGGGAACCCAGGAGGAAAAGACAAATTTGGAAAGCCATCTATCCATCTCACTAGAATTGAGACATTATGGTTTGCATTCTTCCCCCACTCCCCAAAATACCAAATTTCCATCATCAGAGCTCYGTGAATAAACAAACAGTTTGTTACTGGACTCAGGAAGAAAGAAACCACAGGCCTGTTAGGGACAGAGAGGAGAGGAGTGCACTGTGTGCTTGGGAGCGTGTTTATTTGACTGGATTGCAGACGGTCAACCGAAGAACATACAGATCATATATTTTTAAGCATTTCATAATGTCTTATTATTAATTCTAGCCAAAACCATCAAGACCAAAATTATCTGAAATTGGTGCTTGTGTGTCCTGATCCCAAAGCCAACAATGGTCGCATAAAAAAAATTTACAAAATCTACAGTCCTCTCAGGTTTAATTTTTTTAAATCGATTACAAGGCAGTGCCCTTTAAGAGTCTAGAGAGAAGACAGGTCTCTRCAACTAACAAACTGAAATGTGGTCTGGAGTAAATTTTACTTCCAGGAAACCAAAATGTTGCAGTCCTGGAGAGAGGGAGACTGTAAGCAGAGGGCTCTTCTAAAGGAAGGAGCTTTTATTGAACCTGTCACTTGTCATTAAACACTCCATATTTTACCTTAGCCTGATATTTTCATTAGAGCATACAGMCCTTTTTCATCTGTGAATGAAAGCATTCCCTTCAGCCTTGTGCTGAATATGGGGAAAGACTCTCTAAAATTGAGCCCACCCAAACAGGACAATTACRTTCACAAAAGCAGAAAAAGCACTAGGGAAAATCAAGTAACATCAATACTATGATAACTTGCACATTTCAGTGTTGACTATCACATCATACTTCAATCTTAAATTATTTTATGCATTTAATAATGTCTATTTTTAATGTCAGAAAAACTTGAATAGAATTATATAGGAAGTAACAGACATTAGTGCAGAATAAAACACAACATAAGTATAAAAAAGTATGTATTGTTCTATWGAGATTTCTAGTTGGAAAACATGAATGTAAAATGGTAAAGATATCTGTGCTATTCRTATTTTTATATCTATGATCTCTCCACTGCTTAAAACTCTTTGTAAGAATTGGATAAAAAATTTCAAGAGTAACTAAACATTCATAAAGAACCTATAAAGCAGCACCATTTTTCCCACCTAATTCTGAGCAAAAGCTCCCTCACTGCTACCACCAAAGCAGTACCATCTCCTTCATGTACCAGAAAATGGTGTTGAGTAGTTTTAACAGGACTTACGGCTCTCAGTAACTGAAATATCACTCTCTGTTCATTGCTATGTAGTACAAACATTTTACATAATTTACTGTTTCTCAAAAAAAGAATGGTTTTGGTATACAAATAGGAGCTGAGAGAAAACAAATTTCAGCCTTTTTTTTCAGTGTGTTATATTTGTGAAGAAGAAAGAAAAATGAAAAAGAAAAAAATAATGTAGGGGTGGAAAAGCCAGGAAAGGAAGCCATCCCTTTTAAAATCTGGAAGTGCTCCATAAAAACAAAGATGATAGTCTGATGGAATGGTGTCATTCAATAAATACACCATCCACGTAATTGCAAGGCAAATGTCAAGTACTAGCTGTCTTTTCAAACTTGAAATACAGATTTACTCAAATGCAGATTAGAAATATAACTAAATATTGTAGTAGTTTTAGGAATTTTTAAAGACATTTCACTAACACCAGGAGGACTGTGTTATCTAAACATAGCTGCCACATAACGAGAGCCTTGTGAATTGCCATAGCATTACAGCCACAAAACCTATTAGCAGATGTAGAAATCCCACATCCMTGCCTTTTATAAAGGTCTGCAGTTATGAAATCATTTTCATACAYTTGGAACTTAACTATTTCAGTGCCCTGTACACAAAAGACTGGAGCTGATGGGGAAAACCACAAAATGGTGCATCTGAAAGCATTCCACATGGACACATGTTTCTGTGGCTCTTCCAAAGTTTTAGTTGAAAACATCCCCCAGCATCTCACAGAACAAAGTAAGGAAGTTTATGTTTGAATCAAGGAGAGAATTTATCTTTACTAGTGAACTCCTAGGATGTATTCTGTGTCTTCATCATAGGTGTATTAAGATATGTGGCTGGTAAAAAAAAACCAGGATTTTACCTAGGATAACAAAGGAAAACACCAAAGAAAGCCTTGCTCTTTAAAGATTTACAAAGTGAAAGACTACAGGGTAGAGTACTGTTTCCATGTTTATTTTCACTCACCGAAAGGAAAGTTATTTTTGTAAATTAAAGAAAACACAGTCAAAATGTCTATTATCTCCACACTTAACATCATGGTATCTTTGCCTTACTTCATGGCAATAGTTTAATATTTTTATGACAGCAAATAAAAACTTACCGTKTGATAAACCTCCTATGGCTAATCTCAACAAAGAGCACACTGAGAAATATTTGACTTGCTTTTATACCAGTGACTTYCTTATGCCTTGGCAGATTTGAGGTAACCAGATAACTTTGTGGGGCAGCACCATGATCATTTCAGAAATAAAGCAAACTGACTAGTAAGCATACCAGGAATTCATGAGGCAGAGTAAACAAGGATGACTACACATAGAAAACACRGTCCTCCAGTTACCCCACAATTCCAGCTTACTCGGCGAATACTTACTTGGTTGGATTTCATTTACTGAAGAAAAGACACCAGTAAAAGGTAAAACCAGCTGGGAAAATACACAAAAACAGCTAAAGAAAAAGGCTGTTAGAAGAGCAGAGAAGAAAGAAACRTCACACCAATCTCAAAACAGAATTSATAAAATYATTTCAACAATGYACTTCATAACCRAGTTGACAGTCAAAAGCATTTTTTCCTTTTAWGAAAATTGAGTAAGATATGAAAGTAACTGAGAGAGATTGCATTCTTTGAAGTGCTCTAGGATAGATGTGTCCTTTAAAAAAAACCAGTAACAAATTTCTTAGGCAACAGCTATGAAAACAGATCAGGAGGTAGAGAAAAAGCCAGGCAGCTAAGCCTGGCTGACTGTCCAAATTCCATTAATTCAATTCCCATGTTACCTGAAGCTGTTGGGAGCTGTCATTAAGGTTATCCTCTCGTCTCCTGGCCTCCTCCAGCATCTGTGCACTCTTCTTTTTCTCCACTTGTTCTTTGTGCTTCAGATTTGCTACTTTCTTATTTTGATCTTTAACTTGCCTGCAAAAGAGAAGAGCACTCAGAGCACAGTTCAGAGCAGCTTCCCGTCCACCCCAGCACTGGGCAACTGGACCAGCACCAAAGTCATCCTGCAGCACTACCCTCAACTGTTAATTCAGCCAGCAGAATGCTTCATTTTGCTCATTACTATTAACCAAAACTAATTTCTGAAATTTCTGAAACAAAAGCATTCATTATTATTTGGTATAAACTATTAATCGAAAGATGCACCTGTTCTCTTCTGATTTTGGGGAAGAAAACTCTTCTCTGTTCACACACCCACMKACACTTATAAAACYACAGACATCYWATAACCTATTTTGCTTTGGGTATCTAATGTGAAGAAAACAGGAGGAGCAAWAGGAAAAAGTATTGAAACATGACTTGCATATAGAGGATTACCTACAAAAATAAGGCTATGCACTCCAGAAGTAAAACAATTTCTTTTTAACCTCAAGGTCTACTTGTCTTCTTGGTATTTTGAGGGATTTCCTATTCTTTCTTTTTAGAGAAACAAGACAGAACAAGTAAGAACAAACTATTTCAGAAAGCGTGCATAATTTCCTTTTCACTTGCATCTATGGACTATTTTTGATGATCCTGGCAGCTACCATTGCCTGTAGACAGGGCTTGGCCTTTCAGGGCATTAAGACACATGGAGTATTGAATCTAATTACAGACCCTTTAATCTCAGCCTCCTGACCACAGAGAACTTAGGTCTAAACTTTTAGTCCAATCAAAACAAAACAGGCTAGCTTTGCTTCCTCAGCCCTTTTCGCCATAATTATATCTGGAGTTTGGATTCTGGAGTAAAAGACAGATTCTTTGGTTGCAAGATTTCCCCAAACATCATGCAAGTARTAGAGACGGCTCTTTAATTAACTGTATAGAAAACAGAATGATATAGCAGTTKCAGGTCGGGTATGTTATCCACACAGACAAGGAAGAATGGTTCTTCTGTATTTCAGAAATACTTTTAGAACACATCACAGACAACCTTCTTTAATATTTTCTTCAGAACTCATAACAAAAGTATGATCAAGAACACAGCTCTTTGTGATATATTTATGTTCAAATTATGTGGTATATGACTAGTCARTGTTTTGAGTTCCTCCAAAAAATGTAGGTTCAACTCTGAGCTCTGTGTTTTCCAATGTAAGCCAACTGAGGCTGAGAAAATTGCAAAGACAGCAAATTTTCTTTGGTGCTAAAACAAACTATTAGGGTGAAAAAGTGCTGATGGTCTCTGGAGAGCAATAAAAAAGGAAAGTCCTTTTCTGATGATGTTAAAAAATTATTGGCATACTTAACTACCCTGTCCAAGAGTTACAGCTGATTTGAGTCAGGGTGCTTTTTAAACACAACCGGTATAATTGTTGAGTTATTCTAACCCAGTGCTGCACACTGGCAATGGGCGCTTTGCCCAGTTTGAAAGCAGACTTGCTCAGTGATTAAACAACTTATTGGAAATATTATGTTGGCACCAACTTGGCTTGTACAATACACGGTTCTATCTGTCCAATAAAATAAACACAGAAAGCACAGCTAAGTAAACGSAGAAAATGAAAATATGTCAGCCCAACACATTTAATTCCATATGAGAATTTGTATTCAACTTTTAAATTAAAATTAGAGGAATTAAGTATTTTTTATAAACTTAAAAAGCTAGATTCACATATTGGGAAACAGATCTTTATCACTATAACCTACTAGTTAGCTAAGAGACAACAATCTTAATAAAGCCACAATCTTCATCAAAATATGTCTGAAAATAGATAATCTCCTGCACAGTCCAAAATGTTTTAAAACAAAATATGTATTTCAAAAAAAACAGTAATTACAAGAACAAGTACTACTGACATCCCCTTCTCATGTCTGAACCAAAATTAATCACATTCTAATATATTAGATAGATGTTTTGAGACAAAGATAAGATTTCCTAAAGTTAAAAGACGGAAGTCTTGAAATTACCTAGTGCTTGTAATATTGAGATCAATCTTCACAAAACCTTCCACTAGACCAGGCTGCTCCATTTGATACATGAAAACACATCTCATCTCAATGCCCATGGTAGCAAATGATAATTCTCACTTTTACAATACTTCATGCAGATAATCAGGTAAAAGGTTCAGTAAATAGAAGCCCACAGCCCTTTAAAATTCGCACCATGAAAGTTCTGTGAAACTCTGAAGACTTCTTACTAAGATTCTGTAAAGAATGCCCTTTCTTCTCTGCCAGGTAACTTTCAATCTTCAAAACCATTTAATCACCTTTTAATATATGCAAACCAATTTAAAAATCTTTAAACACATACTCACAATTTTAATATCGAGAGACTTCAAAAGCTTGCTTAATAGGTATCACCCAATTCACTGCTCAGTAAGACAGTTCTGTTACTATTTTAAACACAGCAATACTACTGATGATTTTAATAGAACAATTTCATCTTCACACCATCACTGAACAATGTGCAGAATTGGACCACATATTGAACTGGAACAGTAAAACAAAATACAGAAAGTATGTGTCTTAAGTGAGCATATTGCAATTGGTACATTTTATGAGGATGGAGTCAAGAGGAAAATTTTTTCATACTATATGCACACAAGGAAGCTAATTAGGAAGAAAGAAAAAGAATGAAAGAACAAAATAAAGAACGAAAGAATGAACAAAAGCTCTGCAACTCCCTCAGTTTGAGAGCTTAATTTTGTAAGTTTAATGTTCTTTCAACTCTTTTGAATGCAATAGCACATGCATAGAGCACATATCCCTATCAAAGAGACAGTAAAGAAGAAATCCTTAATCTCTAAGAGACTTTATATTAAACCTGAAAAAACCTGCACAAGATGAAAGATGGTAAAAAGAGAATGAATTTGTTACAATGATGGCAACAGCTTAGAGGCTTATGAATGTTTTCTAGAAAGCACTACTCTTTGCATGTATAGCAACTGAGCAAACACCAATTTGCAATGTGCATGTGGGATTCTCATAATGAAGATCTAATGAACTTCTGAGAGATATCGTGCATTAAATATTATCATAAGTACACATTCCTACTGAAACATCTTTGCAAAACAGGACTATGAAGAGAGAAAGAATTCTGGTCATTGTAATTAAAGCTAGACAACCAATTCACATTCATTGAAATAAAGCTTTAAAGGATACCAACTGGAACCAGCAGAAACAACAAAACCAACAAAAGTGAAGGTACCTCATCTCAGAAAATGTTTATTTTCAGAGTCACCTCAGATCAAATAACAAAAAAATGTTACAGTCATATATATAAGAAGAAAAATCTAATGAGAATATTCATTATGTTGAATTACAATGAAGAATCCTGCTTGTTTTGGAAATAACCATTTATTTTTCATTTTTAGTAGCAATTTTAAATTAACTTTTTTTGCGTTGCAGCTCCTAAAATATTTTGCACTCAAAAGCGAAATCCCTTTTCCATTACTTTGAATTCTTCTCCATTTCACTGTACGTCATGTCAAGCACTGTCACAGTGGAATATATACACCATATAGCGGAATATATAAAAGGATGTAGAATCCAAATCAGACTGCTGATTTAAAAATATATACCCCAAAGCCTTTCAATTAAAGACAGGCTGAGGTTTTCAGAATTAAAAATTTCACATCCTTTGTTTTTGGGTGCCCAATTTAAGCCATGTGCGTGATGAAAAAATTCCTTAAAATTTCAAAATCTGGACACTGCAACCAACTGCTATGACTATGACTTTTCTCTTTCTTTAATGAAACAAAGCTGCATCACTTAAAAAAAGCCACACCTTTCCACTCTCTATGAAATTCTGAATTTCTAGTGATGAAACAAACCAAGCACTGTGGGAAATAAAGTTAAACAATCACAAAAAGAAATAAAAAATATGAAATGAGAAAACTGCACATTTTAAAATAATTTTAAAACAGGAAGAGAAATATAAACAATAGGAGATCAGCGGACCATCAACCATTCCTGAAAAGTGGCAAGTCTGTTACCCATCAGTCCTTTTCCTCCTGATAAGACCAATTACTACATAGGCCCTTTTATTTATCAAGTCTTTTATGAAATATTTTTTTTTGTACTACCATTAATATTTTTTTCATTTTGACACTAATCTCACTATTTTTTACTGTAATGCACATCAGCATAACATACAGCTAATTCTCTCCTCATATGGATTTTCATGCTACACATTAATGTAATATAAGCTATTAGCTGCATCTGGTTATCTTTTCTGACATAATTTCAGGTGCTATTCTTGTAAAACAGAAGTAGATAAAATGTTAACTGAAAATATGAATAAGTTAATTTGAATTTTAAGCCTATATTTTAACATATTTTCCCTTCACATTTACATGGCTATCACACAACAGTGTTTTTAGAATAAACCAGGTTAGGCAAACATTTAGAATTCTTTTGAACCACCACAAAAGCTTCTCTGCAATATAAAGTGTATACACACATGCTGTATTTCACACAATGAATCACAGACTAGGAAAAACATGCAGATCTTGTACACTGCCATAGAAACATCCTGTTTTACTCATCTGACTTAGGCACTCAGAAAATATTTCTGTGTGTCCGTCAGCCATGTCAGAAGGACTGCTGAGCTCGAGCCCTCATTGCTGTAGCATTACCACCACCCACAGGACACTCCACTGCTGCTGCATCTGATCCTGATGATCAGATCAACTTCAGACGCTCTAAAGAACACTTTGCTCCTCAACATGAGTTAAACTAATAAAATAGTCAACATGACTGAAAAAAATAACCTGCATGGAAAAGTGGATGCAATGACTTAATATGTTTTTTAGTTTTGAACTGCCAATGTACCTTGTATTACAAAATAWTGGGTTCTAAAACGTATAGTATAGAGCCACAGAATATTTCAAGTTGGCAGGGACACATTAGGATAACCGAGCCCAACTCCCTGCTTGTTGCAGGACTACCTAAAACTAAACCACTGAGAGCWTTGTCCAGACACTCCTTGAACTCTG